TAACATGTGTAGTGCCAACAAAATGCACCAAGTTAGCTGGTCCCAAACAGGATCTTATTAAGAAATTTTTACAGTCATGTTTGTAATAGCTGTTAAAAGTTTAAGATTTTTTTCCTTACTTAGTACAGTATTAGAGATTTTCTGAAGTTAAGATCACTGTATTGCAAATGCTGCACTGCAATTTCTAAGCACATAGTTGAATTCCACAGTTTAAGGGCCTGCTTTTCAGGCCAGTCTTAACCTGGTACAGCTCGCACCTACTCTAATCACCTGGCTGCCTTCACAGAGCCAGCACTGGACTTCCAGACAGTCTAACTTGCACCCGGGAGAAGCTATCAGCGCAAAATTGCATGCTTATTCCCTGGCAGTTTGCACGTCTAAAACCAGAGACCAATGCTTGAAATTCTGACCTTTAATAAGTAAACAGGAACTGAGCTGACAGATTGCATTGAAAACATTTGCAAAAGATGATATATAAAAATAACAGAGCCTCTGGAAAAAAATATTTGGAGTTTCAAAAATCACATTTAAAAAGCCAGTAAAAATAACACCTATGACTATGACTACATGTTCACTTACCCTACCATGCCATGAAAAACATACCATATGAATCAGACCCTTCTTGCAGCCCTTCTGTGGGCACAGACTGTTCCAAATCCTCCTCCATAAGCCATTCCTTAAATCCTTGCTCTCTACTTGCAACATTTTGCACTTTTGCAAGAGAATCTCCTCCAAACTGCCTCAACTACTTTGTCTTTTAATGCCGTAGCTTCATTTAGTTGCCTTCCTACTGCATTCTTTTGCTTAATTCTTGTAATCTGTATTTAAATTTAAAGTGGAGAATGTGAGTACTTACACTGTAACACCTCAAGTTTTCCTTGGTGCTAAGCACATTTTAGCTCCTCATGGTATCAGGAGGAACTGCAGGAATTGTGTGTTTTGCAGGACCAGGCTCTGCTTTTGCATGACTTTGTATTACTGAACAAAACCAAGCCAAACCTGTCATTCTCAGCAATGGAACCACTGTTTCTTTTATATTAGTAAATAGAGATCACTATTGATGTGCACTATGTTAATGACAGGGTTTTAGTAATGCTACTGGTGTTAAAAAAAAAAAAGAGCCCCCATTGCACAGCCAGCTTGAATGATAAACCTTGCAGCTCCCAGGTTTGGTCCAGAAGCCTCTGAAGTCCCTCAACTTTGACAGCTACTCCAACGAGAAAACAACTTATCTGTTCTCCAGCAGCAGCCTCAGGTAACCTCACTTAGGAAATTTAGGAACGTATTTTTCCAACAAAATTGTCCCAAATGTAATCTGCTTAAACTAGATACACAGGCCAGATAAAAGGAGCCAGAAATACCTACTTTCCAAAAATGCCAAGAATTCTTGCAGCTTACTCCACATTTATTTTATCTATTCAACTTGTTTTTTCCTACATGTTGATGATAATTTACACCTACTTTAATCCACAGAAGTTACAGAGACTCTATCTAGCTCAGCTGCTTTTAATGAAATGTATTTCTAAATATAAACTATAGCTTCCTGCATTTCTGATTTTTAGTGTTCACTTGTGCAAAAGGTATCACTGAAAGAGAGAGGGATGCTAAGGCACCAAACGGTTCCTGCTATTCACAGGGAACAGCATTGCTAGACAGAGCAGAAAAGGAGAGCTCTCCTGGGCAGGCTGCGGGGTATCTGGGCAAAACAGCAGGGATTTTTACGGCCAAAGAAATCCCTACATGGATTCACAGCCCAAAGCAAAGCCTGCTAAGTTGGGGACACCCATGAAATGATTTCAGCAGGGCTTTGAATGAAGTTTTTGAGAAGAGCTAGCCCAGGACTACATAGATTCAATAGTCAAAAGATCTGTGAGAGCAAACAAGAAAAAGAGCCCTAAATGGGCAGAAACCCCCCTCGCTCGTAGTAATTAGTAGGTTCTTCTGATGACTCTTCATAGAATTTGATCCTAGAAAATCATTTTCCATCTAGCCCATAAAAAACAGGCAAATCAGTACTCTTAGCAGTATATAGCACCTTTATTTATCCCTGAGAACTCTGACATTCCTAGGAAATCTGCACCTTTTTCTGTTACTTACTGCAGGAATATCTTCATACAACAAACTTCCTATACTAAAACAGATCAGCTTAATCTTACGTAAGAATAATCTGGTTTCTTCCCCATAGGCATTGAGGTACCTGTGGCAAAATGGACTTAGAGTGGAATTTTCACCTTTCATGACTAATAGATCCACCTACCACTCTGGCTGTGACTGCATTTGGACAACTGATTCTCTCATAATGTCCAACATTTCCTGAAGCACCCTGTGCAACTGCATTAAAAAGTACTCAGGGCTCTGAGCAAAACTGAACTTAAACTTTTGTTTTGTTTTTAAAACTATCTGAAGATGCAATTAATTTTATTACAGAAGGTTGTAGAGTTTCATTTCATTGGTATCTTTATAAGAGAATCCGCTCATTGTTAACACTCACGTGGAACCATATGTTTATTTATGAAAGCAATCCTGCTATTTTTATTAGGAAAATTCACATAAAGTCTATTAATACAAAAAATGCAAAATGACTCTGCTGATGGCTGAATCTAAAAGCTGAAGGGCAGTAGGTAGCACTGCTCTCACCCGAAAAAATTAAAAAAAAAATCTGAACTGTGATTATAAGGTTAGAGAATAACTAACAGCTGGAAAAAAAAAGAGGAGAAGAGGAGAAAGAGGTCCTCCTTACCTCAAAACTCATTTTCAGGTTAAACTCCTCATTTTAGTTGCTCTTTTAAGGCCTCAGGGCTGATGTTGTGCAGCAGTAACTGCTGGATATCAGAAAATTGTCACTCCGAGTTGGGAGGCTTTGTAACATCTCTAAAACTTGTATTCATCAGATCATAGTCTGAAGATTAGAAAAGTTCAAACTAGCTTTCTACAGGGCAGCTTCTCTCAAAAATATTTCTGAAGATTTACATGAAGCGTGGTATAAAAGTAGCAATATTTCAAAAATACGAGCTTAATACGAATATACAAAAATGTTTCTTCCTTTCAATTACATTTCTATTAAGATGGATATGTCAAATTGGTTTGTTTGCAGGCTTATGTAAAGAATCCATCTTCGGTAACTGGTTTCCTCCAGACTGCATTTGGCAGCGAATGAGGCATTTTATAACTACAAGAAAAGGTTTTTTCTTTTCCTATCCTATCTTACTTTTATTGAGAGCAGAACAATTCAGACTGCTTGAAAACAGACCAAATGCACTAGATGGCTATTAAAATGTAAAGTAATACATTTTTATGGGATGACATATTAGCAAAATGTCATTGGAATTATGCTTATCTTCATGGAAGAAGCTCATTACTGAGGAAACTAAAGCAACCTTTTTATTACCTTTTTAATTAATGTTTTGAGTAGACAATTATTATTTTGAAGGAGTTTTTAATTATTCATAACAGCTGCCAAAACCTTGTCACAGCACACAGAAAAATAAAATTATTTTACCAGTTAGAAAAATGACTTTCAATCTCATTCTGTTTGCTAAGTGGGTATCACAGGAGGTAGTTACATAAACATGCCCACATTAAATGACTGTCATTTAATTTTAGAAATTAAAGTACATGTCTACAAACAAATAGCTCGTCTTTGAACAGAAAATTCAACTCAGCATCTCAAAGCACTTGAAAAAGCAGGTAAAAATTACAATGTCTCCTTTTTAAAAATAGAAAGGAGTATTCAGGAACCCTGTTATTAGATCAGACCTGCAGCATTAGGGACAAAATAGAAACTACCAGAGGTAGGACTTATCATCACGTCCTTGCCACAACCATCAGCTCTGCCACTCACAGTTACTGAAATACCCACATCTCCAGTGTTACTTTTAAGAATTTTTACCCTCTGCAATCATTCTCAAAGAGCTTCTGTGAACATCCTTCATAGCAACACTCCACAGCACCAGCAAAATCTGGTTTACTACTGACAACATAATCCCCAAAATTCTACAAACACTTCTAGTGCTTTAAAGGCTTCCTCGAAGGGGAATATAAAAATTGCTATGGTCATTTTGCACTGTGTAAACCAGCAATCACAGCTGCCACACCTCCTCTCTTCTGTTTCACATGATCATTTCCACTTCACCACTATACACCTTCGTATTCCAATTTTGGTTCTCTCACTTCCTCAACTTAAAAGGCTCTCCCAAAAATAACAGGTTAGTAATGGTGTATTGCCATATGAAACAATATATGATTATAGCTTCTATGTTTAACTACATAAATAACAGAGCAAAAAGAAAAGTGCTTAAAACATTTGCCTCCACTTTGATTTCAGCCAGTAAAATCAAACCACTCTCTAAATATATGAATAATACTGAATATGTACTCTCTCTCATCCATTTGTTTCCAAGAACTTAGCAGATAATTAGGATATTCTTGCCCTGCTTTTTGCCTATAACTCAGTAGGTAAACATGCCTCTCGCTCAAATGGAAATTATCAACAGTTAACATGATCTTTCACTTCCCAGTTCTGTTATTTGGCACTCTACAACTCTCAACAGTTTCCTCTAGTACTTTCTCCACAGATTTTGAAAAGTTAATTCAAAAACTGTCAATCTTTTCCTCTGAAAACATTATGCTGTTTAAAAATGGTATTTTTTTCAAAATTAAAAAAAAAGATAAATACAAAAATAACTGCCTTAAAGTGACATCTTAAAATATCTAGGAATTGCTAATTCTGCTGAGTAAACCAGAGGAAACCAAAAGTTCATCTTAAAAAACATAGATGTATTGTTCTAAATATAAAATTGAAAGCAGAATGAAACTGCTTAAGACCTTGACATTCCCAAGGAGTAAGTTCCTCTCCCCACGTGCATCTACAGGTTTTAGCTTCTGCACACTTAATTCATTTTTAAAGTCTATATTACTTTTAAAAAAGTTAGTAAAATTGCGTCATCCACTTCCATTCTACAAGACACTTATTTTGCCCAGAGTAACACTATTCTAAAGAAAGTGTGCAAGTTCTACAAAACAGAACAAGGAGGATCATTTCCTACTATAACTGCAGCTGAACACGGGAAGAATGTAGCCCAGCGAAGATCCTGCTTTGCAAGGACTGTTACAGGGACTTGCATTTAACAGTCACATACTAGTCTTGAAAAGTAACTCTGTGACTCAGCATAGGAAGCAAACGTCAGTAGGGGCCAGGCTGCCTGGACAACTGAAATTTTACTTTTGTAAACTCACGTCGTGTCCCTTAGGAAGTGGCAGGGATTATATAAGCCTAGAACTTTTGAGAAACTGGATGAGAACTCCATAGACGAAAGTGTACTGAGAAAGAGTCTGCACCATCATCATTCTCTGTTGCCTCAACATGTCCAGCACTCGTGGGATGTCCAGCATCTGGAGGAAGAGAACAAACCATTACAGTGACTGGTAAGTAAGGAGATTGCCTTGTACACCTTCACAGCAGGAAATGTAGGATAAAACTAGTGATCTAAGGATAGAAACAGCTGCCCTAATTTCAACTCTGAAAATTCACCGCCTATTCTGGCAGCATGGACATAACTGCACCACTGACCATATTCACCTCATCTTCCTCATCCGTGAGCCATGCATAATAGTGTCCAACCTGCCTGCCTCGTGGGTAACTCCTCACAAATCTAATGGTCCCAAAAGTCTGCACAGGGTTAGGATAGGGATGCACAGTGAACACTTGGTTTGGAGAGCCTCAGCTGACACCTTTATATTACGAATAACAAACTGTCCACTTGAGGCTAAAGGCTGATGGGACTAGGTCTTACGCTATTAAACTACCACTTTGTCCTCTGCCAAGGCTGATACTGCAAATATTACTATATTTAGAAACAAAATATTTAATAACAAGCACTGAGACTGTATTACATAGCATGCCCTTAAATATTAACTATCATGAAGTAATAGAGAAAAAGCCAGGGCCAAACCCTGAGATATGCACAAGTACCCCAGGACATACTTTTTCCATTCAGTCATACAACACCTTATAAAGTCAAGAAACAGATGAACCCTTCAACACCCAGTGTATAAGTGGGCAACTCTAGAAAATTATT